CCCAAAACCCAAACCCTAAAAACCCTAAAGCCCTGACTAACACCCTACAGCCCCAGAACCCTAAACCCCGAAACACTAAAGCCCTAAACCCCTACACCCCTGAAATCCAAAACGCTGAAGCTTCAGAACTTCGTAAACATCAGGCGATTCGAGGGTTTACTGAGTTCCTCGGTCCTTCTTCCTGATATGGTGTCTGTCAGTTGTTCTGGCTTTTGGGTTTAGAGTTTACGGTTTGGGGCTTGAGGCTTTAGGGTTTTTGATGGTTGAGGGATGTTTAGGGTTTAGGTTTCGGGTTTGTGAGTTCAGGGTTTAGGGCTGGAGGGTTTATGATGTTAGGCGGCCTACTTCTCTCCATATGTCGCCAAGAACACTACGTAATTCCAGGGAAGGGGATGCAAGGTTTCATGTCACAGGTTCACCCAAAGAGCCCAATGCCCCTTGATTGAGGAACATCCCTTCAGTCATAAAGAGAGGAACCTTGTTTTGCTGTAAGGGATGTTCTTTAATTAAGGGATGGTGGGCTCTCTGGGCTGATACTGTTGATGCATTACCTTAAGGACCCCAAACCATGGGAATTATTGCATATTCCTTTTTATGGATAATGCAGGAGATATAGCATCAAATATCGGAGTTCCAGGAAGCATAAGGTTTTTGTTGTAAGCTCGAAAGACAAGGACCCATGCGATAAGGGCCTCCCAAACAGGAACCTCGAATTTTAACTTAGGGTTTAGGGTTTAGGGGTTTAGGAACCTCTAATTTTAACGGCAACTACTAAGGTAAAACATGCCGCACAACCCTGTTGTAATGAGTAAGGCCCCTATTTGCACCTGCCATCACAAACCACTTTAGGGTGTTAAGGGGCTTAGCAGTTTAGGATCTAGGAGTTGGGGTTTAGAGCTGAGGTTCGGGACTTTAGGTTTACGTAAAGGCTCAAGGGACATAGTAAGTGTCTTATAAGTAAGGCTATACTCAGGATAACCCCACTTTTGGGGGACTTATAACCCCAATTGTAACCTCCTCAATAAGTTCCTGAGCCCGTAAGAAGGCTTTGAGCCATCCCTTCAGCAATGAAGTTCCTTTCCCTGAGACGTTGGGTTTAATTGCTTTAGTTGGAGGAGGAGTCGGAGTAGTAGTCTTAGTGGCAGTACCCAGAGAGCCCAATACCCCTTAATTAAGGAATATACCTTAGGTAGAAGGGGCTTAATATTATGATTCAAGGTATATGCTTGATTTAGGGGGTATTGGGCTCTCTGGGTAACGGCAGTAACTAGAATAACCCTAAGCCCTAAACCCTAAACCCTAAACCCTAAACCCGGCAATAATGAGCATGGGACTATTGAGCAGACCTGCACATGAACTTCTCTTGTCCTCAAGCCCACAGCCCTCAACCCTGAACCCAACATCCTCAACAACCATCTAGTGTAGACTTTTGAATTATCAGTATAGCCGAGTAAAAACCTTCTTAGAAGCCCTTAACTACAAAGTCTCCTGCACGATCAGCGCAGCTTCCTGGGGAAAGCCAGGAGCACAGGACTCAACACATGTGGGGCTTCATGATACAATTTAAGCTAGATTCCGTCATGAAGAGGTATTGGGCTCCCTAAACTCTATAACTTTAAACTTTAAACCCTGAAATTCGATAAAGGGGTATTGGGCTCTCTGCTCTGTGATCTTTTCGACTTCAGGAAATGTTGAGGCAATGCACTGTCGGCTCTTACGATCTCGGCTTTCCAGAAGGTTCGGCTCTAAAGTTTAGGGGTTGGTTTAGGGTTTAGGGTTTAGGGTTTAGGGTTTAGGGTTTAGGGCTTAGGGTTTAGGGTTTAGGGTTTAGGGTTTAGGGTTGGGGCTTAAGGGTCAGGGTTTAGGGTTTAAGCTTTCAGGTTGTGGAGAACTCGAGTTTTTTGGGATTTGCATTTGACGCCTGCCTTCTGGCCTCATGGAATGCGCTGTGGCCCTAAACCTTAAACCCTAAACCCTAAACCCTAAACCCTAATTTGGGTTTAGGGCATCGATGCCGTGTTGCAGCTACCTCAAAGCTCAGATGGGGAGAGCAGTCTCGGAGAGGCATCGGGGAGCGACTCTCCCTAAACCCCGCGGTTTAGGGCTTATGGTTTAAGCTTTAGGGTTCCTGAATGCTAAACCCTAAACCCTATTCTGCTTTGAGTTTTCCTTGGGTTTCGGAAGGGGGTGTAGCAGCTGGATACAATAGGTTACCTGCAGCAGAGCTGCACAAATCCGAAACCTGGCAGCATCCCGAGCAAGTCTCTAGGCTAGGACTCAGACTGTATAGCCTCCCACAATTTCCGCGCAAAATCTTTGAAAATATGCCACTTGGCACCCAATTTCCCAAATTCCCCCCTAAACCCTAAACCCTAAACCCTAAATCCCTGAACCCTTAAACCTGCTCTCGTCCTGAAGCTCGTCGCCGTACGCTGCCTGCAGAGCCGCTCGGAAGGTCGCCGGGTCCTTCTTTCGGGGTATTCGGCGTGTAGCTGCTTTAGGGCTTAGGGTTTAGGGTTTAGGGTTTAGGGTTTGGGGTTTAGGGTTTAGGGTTTAGGGTTTAGGGGTTAGGGTTTAGGGTTTAGGGCTTAGGGTTTAGGGAAATTAAACTGCAACTGCAGCAGTAGCACCAACCGCACGGCACCAGAACGCAGGCTGAGGTCTTGCTGCTAAACCCTAAACTCCTGAAGCCGTAAAACACTAAACCCTGGTGAAAGTCCTCGTGGTAATCCAGCTCATGGTTAACGGTTGCGCAGAGCTCATGTATCTCGTCCGATGGCTCCATTCTGCCCTGGCAGCAAGAGTTCAGGGTTGAGGGAAGGCTTCCGTGCTTGTGGGTTTTGCAAGAACCGGTAGTAGCCAGTGATTCTGGTAGTACCCCTAGACTCCAACACCTCTGCATGAAGCAATGTACCTTGAATTCCACGGTTATGCCTAGCATGCCTAGCCGCCTAGGCAGGTCGAACGACTGCGGACCGAAACAGCAGGATCACACGGTTTAGGGTTTAGGGCTTCAGCTCGACTCCCTAAACCCTAAACCCTTAAACCCTTAAACCCTAATGCCGAAAGGGCCCAAACCCTAAACCCTAAACCCAAAGGCCCTAACTAAACCCTGAAGCCCTAAAGCCCTAAAGCCCTAAAGCCCTAAAGCCCTAAAGCCCTAAAGCCCTAACAAGACGGCCTCAATTCGCTGGCGGATGAGCTCACGGAGCTGCTCCTCCTGTTTGGAAGGGGGTTTTCGATCCCTGGGGTTTAGGGCTCCATGAATCCCAAACTCTAAACCCTAAATCCTAAATCCTAACCGTAAATCCCAAACCCTAAACCCTAAACCCTAAACCCTAAACCCTAAATCCTAAACCCCTAAACCCTAAACCCTAAACCCCAAACCCTTAGAGCTGGGTTCAGGGCTCAGGCGGTTTCGGGCTCTCGACCTACAGGAATTCGTAGGGTTTCAGAGCTTAGGCTTTCCATTGTAGCGCCTGGGACCTGTGACAGATTTTAGGGATTAGGGTTTAGGGGTTTAGGGTTTAGGGTTTAGGGTTGCAGATACCCTGGTCACTTGAAAGGTGTCCAGTCCAAGCTTGAAGTTTGACAATTCGAACAGAGTTTTGGCATCTAGGGTTTTAGGGGTTTCTCAAACCCTGAGCGTTTACAGTGGGAGCCCGACAATTGGAACATCGGTCTCCACCAACCGGGGAACCTGATAATATCGGAGCCTCTATAATTCGAATAGGGTTTAGGAAAGTTTAGGAGTATATAATTATACTACAATTACAATAAGGAACCCCCAAAGTAGTATTGCTAATTATTTCGGCCCCTGTATTATAGTGAATACAGTGGCGTTAATACTTCGAACACGTTTTTGGGACATATAAACTACAAGGGATACTATTTGCTAATGATTCCGACCCGTCTTCGAGATAATACTGCTGATGGCATGAACTTGCATTAATGTGGAGGGCTTGACAATTAGGATAGGCCTTGGGGCTATATTAAACTATCACTAGAATAAGGAACACCCCCCCTCCCCCAAAAAAAAACTTTTTAATTATCAACAAGACCCCTATATTACCTCTAACATCCGAGACCATCGGAACGATCGCATTCCGCTTTCTGGATTTGTTCGTACCATCGGCCCTTTTTCCGGGGCCAATTCTGTGGCTATGTAGTACAATATAGCAACAATATAATACAGAGATAGTATAATACGATATGGTAGAGTATAGTAAGAGTACGAGTATAGTATGCAAACTGTGAGGCGGAAGTCCTTCTCAGAGGCTTTCGTCCCAGCAGCACTCCAGGCCTTTCTTGGTTCGGTGGGGAGCTCAGGCAACAATAAGAGCAATAACAACCCGTTAATGTTGTACAAGGGCAATGCTCAATGCTCGTTCAGGCGTTAAAGGCTCAGGGTGTTGGCAACAATAGTACTTGCCATAGCAATGAGAAGATCCCCTCAACTCGGTAGTTGAATCGATCTATCTGTTCTTGACTGAATACGCCTACAAAGGCACGTCAAGTTCGCGCGGATTGTAACTCCCAAACATAGCCCTGCATACCCTGAACCCGAAAAGCCCCTCTGAACCCAAACCGCCCAAAACCTCCCCAAATCCTCCCAAACCGCCCTAAAATCAACAAAAACATCCACAAACCTCCCCAAAACCTCTCCACGCAGAAACTCCTAACCCCCC